TCACCAACAACATAGACTTTAATAATGCAGCTGAAATGCAACTCCCAGCAGCAGACCAACTTCAGATGATCACTTGTATCTGTTACAGTAACCCATATATATATATATATATATATATATATATATATATATATATATATAAATCATATGTAAATTACTTGTTATCAGCTTCCAACAACTCCAACAACATATATATATATATATATATATATATATATATAACATAAAATCAGCCATTAAACAATGAATGAAATGATAACACCTGCAATACCAACAAGCATTAGCATGGTAATCATATTCCAAAACCCAATTAGCCTAAGGTGTATGATGGAGGCAGTCTCCTCCATTAAGACATAGTTGGGAGTTGTAAACAGCTGACTATTTGCCTTCTCATCGAACATGGTGATCGTCACCAATTACCATGCAATTAGTTTTCAACACAAGGATCTTTGATTTGTATGAGTTATAACTTGATGAAATTAACACATAATAAAAGAAAACCAGGGTTATAAGACTTAGGGTGAGACGTAAACACAAGTTCCAGTAGACCAATGTTGTCGAAATGCTACAACATGCAATTAGTAACAACTATTTTCACAATTTATTTTTAAGGTATTCCTCTCGGATTTCACCATTGTACTTATAATATAACTTTCAACTCATATCTCTACGGCATCCGGACTAGTGAAAATCACAAATGGTGTTCTTAAAATACACGAATAAACAAATCTCTTCGTTAAAAAATAATTCTTTTGAGCAGATTACCGTATCATTTAAGTTGACATGTTCTAAATAACTCATTTCTGAGTTCATTCCACTTTAATACTTCAAAGTGATCAAGACCTATGCTCTATTTTTTTTCTTCTTCTAAGTTTAGAGATTTTTTTCATTCTTTCCCCTTTTCTTTCTCTAGTTTAGAGCAGAATTTAGCATTTTCATCAGAACAAATTTTTTCTAAAATATTCAAAATTTCTAAAATAATATAACCGTTAAAAATGCTAAACTCTTCATTCAGTATTGTATTTTCGTTATTATTGTTTTTTTATTAACCTGGATATCCAATCCGCTATGCGAACTGACTAATCTCAAGGCAACCAACTGCTTTACAGATAGTCCGAAATCACCTTTGAACCTCCATAACCACAAAAAAAATTTTATTACTTATTGAATTTAAACCTAAAATCTCTTATTATTTTTAACATTTGAAATCAAGCTCAAACCTCAGTCACCACCTTATCATTGTTATAGATTGAGTTTCTAGAAATGACAGGCCACCATCATTCTAAGTCTCTATCCCCTCCTGAAAGAAACAAAATGGTCATGTGACAAATGCCCAACTCTTCTTACGTAAGCTCTTACATCACCACTCTACAAACATCCTCTACGAAACTCCGTGTACGTAAGTAATTGTTATTCATTTTTATATTCGATTAAAACCGAACCAATCTGATATATTCAATATTTTAAATTGCTTGTCGTAATAATCGTCGTGACACGCTATGACTTAAACTTGTGTCTGACGACACATGAAGCTAGTCGCATGTCATGGACTATTACAAGAGACTTTTGGTTTTTCTTACGTTTTTAATGTTTTATTTATTAATTTTTTAATATATAACCTAAATTAATTTATTTAAAGAGTAATATCAAACATATATTTATATATAATATTATCTATGATATAGAGATTTATCATTATAAGTCACGTCTTAAAAAACATAATAACCTCGCCACAAGGACAGACCTAGCTAGTATAGCGGTCATGATGGCATGTGTTGTTTCATTCCTCCGTCGTAGTGTAAAAAAAATTAGGTTCGTGAAATGTGCAACCATATCAATTTGTTTTGTGCCACCATATATATTTTGAAACTACAATAAAGATGCAAGGTTTTCTTTCATTTTAGACCCGAGTTTGAAACACATTAGTATCATTTTCTTAGTTTTTAGCTTTAACTTTTGATTTATTATGTTTCTGGAGAAAAAAAATTACAATAAAAGACTAGAACACAAGACCTCACATAAGAAAAACAATGAACTAACCAAAAGACCAATTATGATGTTTAAATTATATCAGAATATTTATTTCTTATAGTCAAATGATACCATCATTTGAAAAAACTTCCGGATCCGTCCCTACCTCGCTACCACACCACACTTGACATCATTTATAACCTTGAATATATATCTCATAATAAATCAAAGTATAAAATGTGAGATATGCACAAATATATCATCTTGAAAAAGTGTTTTTATAAATAAAATCCCACAATTTAAATATGCGAATATATTTAAATAGAAAAGAATTGGGGGCCTGTTCTTTTGTATCTACTTTTGGAATATTAATGAGCCAACACAAATATTTAATGGCAACATGCACTTAAACACAATTAAAATCCTCATTTTTTCTGACTAATTTATCAGAAATATCTTGAAGTCTTATTTTTTATAAACTAATCCTATAAGTTTATCTGAATAAAAGTATGCTGTAGAATCTAGATCTTAAATATGTTATTCCGTCAAGAACGTACATTAATTTAATATAACTAGAAGGATATTCGCGCAATGCAGCGAGATACCTTTTAATTTTAATATTTTATTTTATTATTTATCTCAGTCGATGTTATAGTATGGCCTTATGTGATCTTGAAAAAGCAATAATATTTTTATTTTTGAATAAAATATAAATTTGAAGATATCATAAAACTTTGACAAAAATATGTCGATATTAGTATCAAATTAACTATTTAAAATTCTTATTTTTTGTGTAATTTTTTAATTTAATTTTTTATTATAATTTAATTTAGGTTTAATAACGAAGTAATTTAAATTGGTCTAATAATATAATTTTTTTATAAAGATAATAATTAATTATTTTGTTAGAACTCGATAATTATCCTAATTATATTTTAGATTTTTTATATTTTAAAATCAGATATTTATCCTCTAATTGGTTATGTTTATCCGCAGTTAGTTACTCGAATTTAAACATGAAGCTTTAATAAGTTGTACTTATGTATAATTTACTTGTAATCTTGAATTTTAAGTAATGTTTTATAATATAGTATAGATAATTTATTCTCTCCCATCGTCAAAATAATGATGCAGTGGGGACAGAAAATTTTGTGACAACAGAAAAGCTGCATCTTAAACCGTCTCGTCCCACAGAAAGGTTAAAAGAGAAGATAAGGACCCAAAAGGCTCTCCAACTACATATAAAACTTATCACAAGTTCATAACCCAAATGCATACCATTCTTCATAACTATTAACTTTACAGAAATGGCTTCCAATCTTCACTTTCTTGTCATACCTCTAATGTGCCCAGGCCACCTCATCCCAATGGTGGACATGGCCAAACTCATAGCACAACAGACGGTGGCGGTGACGATTGTCATCACGCCCCGTAATGCCGAACGGTACGGTGCGGTTCTCAACCGTGCCGTGGCATCGGGACTTCCGATACGAATCCTAAAACTCCGGTTCCCAGCCTTGGAGTATGGATTACCGGAGGGGTGTGAAAGTGTGGATGATCTGCCGTCGTTTACTTTATCCAAGAACTTCTTTGATGCAAGTGCTAAGCTTCAACAACCACTTGAAGAAGTGTTTGGGGAGCTTAAGCCTAGACCAAGTTGTATCATTTCTGATAAACATTTAGCATGGACAGCAGATGTGGCTAGAAAGTATCAGATTCCTTGGGTTATTTTTGATGGGATGAGTTGTTTCACTCAGTTATCTACACACAACTTATGTGTTTCCAAGAGTCATGAAAAGGTGGCTGATTCGGAGCCGTTTATCTTGCCTGGTTTGCCGGATAGCATCGTTGTGACTAAATCCCAGCTCCCGGGCCTATTCAATCCAGGGAACAGTGCAAGAGCGAAGGAAATGAAGAGTGTCCGTGAGCATATTAGAGCAGCAGAATTAGGAGCATATGGGACCATTATAAACAGTTTCGAGGAGTTGGAAACAAGATATATCGAAGAATATAAGAAACTAAAGCAAGGCAGAGTTTGGTGTATTGGACCGTTTTCGCAATCCAACAAGAATGATTTGGATAAAGCTCAGCGTGGAAGCAAAGCTTCAATCAACGAGCATGATTGCATGAAGTGGCTCGATTCTCAGCCTCCAGGAAGCGTAATCTATGCGTGTTTAGGGAGCCTAACACGTCTAACACCTCCTCAGTTTATAGAACTCGCTCTAGGCTTAGAAGAGTCAAGGTTTCCGTTTATTTTAGTGGTGAAAGGAGGAAGTAGAGCAGAAGAGATAGAGAAATGGCTGGGTGAAGATGGTTTCGAAGAGAGAGTGAAAGGAAGAGGAGTTTTGGTCCGTGGGTGGGCGCCACAAGTTCTCGTCTTATCACACCCTGCCATAGGAACCTTCTTGACACACTGCGGTTGGAACTCAACCATTGAAGGGTTCTCTGCAGGTGTACCAATGATCACATGGCCTCAATTTGCAGATCAGTTCTTTAATGAGCGGGTGGCTGTAGAAGTTGTGGGTACTGGTGTGGCGGTTGGAGCTAAAACAGTGATGCATTTAGGGGAAGAGGATGAAGCTGGGATACAAGTAAAAAGGGAGGATGTGTGCAGGGTTGCAAAGATAATAATGGATGAAGGACGAGAAGGAGAAGAACGTAGACAAAAAGCAAAATATTTCCAGGAGATGGCTAGAAAAACGATAGAAGAGGGAGGATCGTCTCGACACAACTTAAAACTGTTCATCGAAGATATCATGCTACACACAAATAAGGGCCTGGCTGGCTAAGCTATAGCAATTGCTAGTTATTTATGAAGATTTCTATCGTGATTCTTATTATTCTGATACCTAATAGAAGATGTTTCAGTTGCTCCTATGATTAACTTGAAGGCTTTCCATAAACTATCTTTCAGACTATATGCACCTAAGGTAGGACACAAAATATATCAATTATCTTGTCACATACATGGTGCTGTTTTCACTTGTGACTACGTGAAAGCAGTAGAAGTTAAAACAATGAATATGTACGACTACAATTCAATGTAAAACGGAAGGTTTACTCCATAATGTGGCACTCACAAGGTTTATTTGAGCTAAAAATCAATCCCGATCTTTCTTAACTTGAGCTTGAGCCTTGGCTAATCTCATATCGACTCAGTTCCGGTTGGTCCATAAAGGCTCATATAATCACAAATCTGAATACTTGCACAAAATTGGAGATTTCTTGTTTGGTTTGTTTTCCACCCGTATAGATTGAGAAGGTTTTTGTTTGGGAGAGTTTTTTCCTAGATGGAATGAGCATGTTTTTTAATTGGGAAGGGTTGGTGTGAAAAAAAAAAAAAACTTGGTTTTCTGTATAAAGCTCCCCCAAAGTAGCTTACTGAATAAGCCACTTTCTATTTCATAAAGCTACTACCAAACAGTCATGTATAGCTGATCAAATAAGCTATGAGTCACATTAAGCTCATGAAGCCACTAACAATCAGCCCCTTAGAAAATTACATTTAGCCCTCTTTAGGAAAAGCATGATTGGTTATTAAAATAAATTAAACTAAGTGGTTCGTACATGCTTGTATAGGCTCAGCTCTTTAGGCTAACCAAGTTGCCAATCCTGAGCTGTAGTTAGCCTGAATCCAACTCCGTAATCAGACAAGCACACCTTGGTTCAGCTCCAGCTTGCTATATGCTCAAGCTTCCCAAAACCCTTTTTGACGAGCGAGCAAGCTCTTGCCTTCCCCCACTCATAATTAGATGAACCTTAAATTTACTCTAGTACCTAAATTTTCTAGAACATTACAAATAACCTACAAAACTTTGCATTCTATTTTTCATACCAAATTTTCTCCAAGACAAATAGTCTACTTTGTCACTTAGGAAAAGCCATGAAGCAAAGAAACAAGAACACATAATTCAGTCACATATGTCCAGTGCCTCTTACCTAAGCTCTTACATCATTAGAGGTCAATATCAAAGGCCACTTGCCATGTGACTATGGATCAGGATGTGGGGTGACTTTTGATATTGTCTTGTCTGACCTAAAAGTTTATGGGCCAAGCCTTGAAGTAACAGGTAAGTTTTACTCTTTTTTGACCAAAAGATTAGTGTTTCAAGTCAAGAAAGGAGCCTCTTTAAAAATCAGCTACATAGGCTTCCTTCCCCAACCCTCATAAAGTTTAGTAGCCTCGGTACATCAGGATAAGCATTTTCTACAAAAGGGTATGACGCCACCCTCTGGAGTGCCTCCACCGTACCGGTCCCATGGCCATCATGGCGTGATTAACCAAGTCTCTTGGAAAAAAAGGTAAGTACCAAGTGGAAAGAGGGAACTTCTCTAATGTGCAGATGAACCTAGCTGGTGATGATTATCTCGCTCTTTTGTGACGACCAGAATCCCTCAGCATTACCACATTACGGTTAACATAATAACTGAAAGTTACCAACACCGATTTATACCCATATACATTCAAACAAATATGCAGACATTATTATTACCTTAGATAAATTCTTAATTTCTACCAATCAGCACCTTCAATTACATAGAACTGATTTCAGTCATACACATCAGATATACTACTGTAAACAAACATGTATTATTTGTTGGATTAATTTTTTTATTTCTAATGGGTAATATTGCACCACCTCACTACTAGCATTGGGTCAGATGGGATTTGAAGAAACCAATGATATAACATAGAAGGCTAATCACTTTTATGAGAGTTGAATGCATCAAAACACATATTTAGAAACTGTAACATTGAACTGGGACTTAAAGTTGGACACATATTCTATATAGATGGGCGGACTATCAAAAAGAAAGGCATAGTTTCATAAACTATTCTTCAAACCATCCACTCAATTTAAATGTGGTTAACAACTTAGATCAAAGGGAGAACAAGCTCCCATCTATGGGATTGAGCATAATCTTCTTAACTTAATTTCCCAGAACTGGCTTGGTTCCTGATATCTTCAATTAGTCGTTTCATATTCTGGTGGGAAGATCCTCCATCTTCTATTGCTTTATTTGCCATCTTACTGAGCTCTTTAGCTCTCTTTCTTCTCTCTTCTCCTTCTTTCCCTTCTTCCATTACCATCTCTATAGCCTTCCTCAGGTCCTCACTCTTTACTTCCACTCCAGACTTCTCTTCTTCACCCAAATGTACTACTTTTTGAGCACCAACACTAACTCCAATTCTCAACACTTGGACAACTAACTTCTCATTGAGGAACTGCTCCTGAAACTGAGGCCATGTTACCAATGGGACACCAGCAGATACCCCTTCTAGTGTAGAATTCCAACCACAGTGCGTTAAAAACCCTCCGATTGCAGGGTGCAATAAGACTAGTAGTTGGGGAGCCCACCCGCGGATCAAGAGACCTCTCTCTTTCGTTCTCTCTACAAACCCCTCTTCATCTATCCATTTTTCAATCGCATTTGTCTTATGACCTGCTCGAACAACCCAAATGAATGGTTTTTTAGATGCTTCTAATGCTAAAGCAAGCTGTATTAGCTGTGCAGGTTCAACACGACTAACACTTCCTAGACAGGCATAGATTACCGAGCCATTTTCTTGAGAATCTAGCCATTTGAGGCATTCGTTTTTGTCAATTGAGGACTTGTTACCTCTCTGGACCTTCTCTGATACATCCTTATGGCATAGCGATAATGGCCCTATGCACCAAACTTTATCTCCTTTGACTTTTTGATATTCATCAGCATATTCTAGTTCCAACTCTTGGAAACTGTTTATAACTACTCCATATGCTTCAGATTCAGATTTCCGAACTCTTTCATAAAAATCTGTCACGTCTTTGGAGCCCGGATTGAATACCAAAGGCAGTTGGGATCTTGTTAGTTCAATACGATCAGGCAAACCGGGTAAAATGAATGAGTCCGATTCACCCAGACTTTCGTATACCTTTGAGAGGTATAAAACATGGCTACACATCTGTGTGAAGCAATTCATTCCGTCAAATATAATCCTTGGAATCTGAAACTTTTTTGCTGTATCAGCTGTCCATAGGATAAATGAGTCGGATACTAAGCAACTTGGCCTAGGATTAAGCTTTTCAATATGTTGTTCAACTTCTTGTTGTAGTGAATTATAGGCAATGTAAAGATCCCTGGCCGAGCCCATGGTAGGGAGAGTATCTATGCTTTCGCAGCCCTCTGGTAAGCCAAACTCCACAGACGGAAATGGTAATTCCAGAAAACGGATGGGAAGACCTGATTTGATTGCTTGATCAAGGATTGACCCAAATCTGAGGGCATTGACTGGGGTGGTAACTATTGTGACTCTCACACCATGTTGAGCTAGTAACTTGACCATGTCAATGGTGGGGATATAGTGGCCTGGAGACACTAAGGGTATAACGAGAAAGTGAAGCTGGTTGTGTTCCTGTAACTCCTCTAAAGCCATATCACAGCGTATGGAGGTTGATTGAATCTATGTTTGATAATTGAACTGCGCCTGCATTCTAATAGAGGGTTTCATTACCCTTAAATGCTTTCTCATGATATTTCATTTGATTAGATTAATCCACGATGATGTAAGTGTTTACATCAGCATGCATGTGCTTACAAAATTGAGAACATAGTATTATTGTATATTACTAAGAATATGAACTGGTCAAGTTTGGAAAAGATGGTGTAGATCACGAGAATGTTTGTCTAATAGGGAAACTCCAATGGTGTACAATATTATTTCAAGAAAGAAAGATAGCCGGACAAGATGCCAAGTAGAAAGCTAAACCCAAATCACAGGACGGGTGTGTAAATTTTTGTGCTTGTCTATGTCTCTGTTATTCATTATCTACCTTTTATTGGTAGCCATGTTATTTATTACCTTCGATCCAAATAATCAAACAGGATTTATGCCTCCGTCACATGACCAGTCCAAACTTTAGGCTTTCTCGTTACTGGACATGGATCTGAAGGATAGATACACTCGCAGGCTTCGAATTAGTATTTGATGAGGCATCAAGTCACCCAATAATTACTGGTAAGCCAATCTGGTTATTCATTTATCTATCTACTTGAGGGAATCATTTTTCTTGAATCTCACATATGAGTAGTACTCTTGAATGTTCTATCACACGAATCCAATGGATGTTTAAGGTAAGCCAAACTCCACAGAAGGAAATGGTAACTCAAGAAAACGGATGGGGAGACCTGATTTGATTGATTGATCAAGGATTGACCCAAATCCGAGAGCATTGACTGGGGTGGTAACTAACGTGACTCTAACACCATGTTGAGCTAGTAACTTAACCATGTCAGTGGTGGGGATATAGTGGCCTGGTGATACTAAGGGTATAACAAGAAAGTGAAGCTGGTTGTGTTCCTGTAATTCCTCTAAAGCCATTTCACAGTCTGGCTGGTATGGTGGAGTGATTGGATCTATGTTCAATCGTGGAACTGCATTTGCATTCTGATTAAAGGGTTTCATTCCCCTTCAATCCTTTCTAATGATATTTTATTAATGTATGATGTTGTAAGTGTAAACATAAGCATGGATGTGCTTAGAAAATTAAAAAACATAGCATTAAAAATATGAACTAGTCAATTTTGGACTAACAGAAAAAGTCCAATCGAGTACAATCAAAAATTATTTAGAAAAAGACAGATAGCCGGCCAAGATGGAAAGTAGAAAGGCAAACCCAAGTCAAATCACAGGAGGCGTGTGCAAATTTTGTGCTTGTCTATGTCTGTCAGTTTTATTCATTGTCTACCTTTTTTTGGTAGCCATGTTATCTATAACCTTTGATCCAACTAATCCACGGGATTTATGCCTCCTTCACATGACCCATCCAAACTTTTAGGCTTCTGGTTAATGGACATGGCTATAAAGGATTGATAACACTTGTCAGATTCTAACTAGTATTTCATGAGGCATCAAGTTAGATTATACCTTACCATAGGGAGAAAAGGCACTTAAAGCTATGCTGCAGGTGTCAAGTGCAACCGAATACCTACAGATAACAAACAAATGAAAGGAGTTACAGTTGCCAATCAAGGACTGTGAGGCCTCTCGCACATTTCAACAAACAGTTTATGGCACGTAGTTTGTTTAGCTTTCGGTTTGATCTTTCTCATTCTCCCTTTGTTCGTCGTAATCATTCAGCTCAGAGATCTAGCATGCTTAATAATCTAGGCATCGTAAACTCCATGATTGAAAAGCAAACCTGTAACTCCACGCAGAAGAAATAAAAAAAATCTCCATGAAAGTGTTTATCAATTTATATATGGTGGCAAACTGGAATTTTATTAAAAAGTGTATGGACATCGTATCGGATAAGCTTATAAAATAGAAAGAGATACCATTTTCTTTTTCCATCCAAATACTAAAACTCTTTATTGTCGGTACCACACCGGAATAAGTTAATAAGTTAGAAGGAAGTAACTCACTAAAAACTCCTTATTACCGGCGCCAAACCAGTATAAGCATTTCCTTTTTTCCTCCCTCCAAACACTAAGGGTGCGTTTGGTACGCTGGACAGGGTGGGACAGGACAGAACAGAACACATTTGTCCTACGTTTGGTGTGGCTAAATGTGGAACTAAATTGGACAAGCATGGGACACGCCTGTTCCACCATTACCCCTGGAACTAAGTGGAACAAGAAAGCTTTTCCCTCTTTACCCCTTCTTCCTCTCCATCGCAGCCTCCATACACCCTCCATCGCACTCTATGCTCTGCCTCCATCGGCGACTGCCTCCGTCGCACCAACTGCCTCCATCGGCGACACCCTCCATCGCACTCCATGCTCTGCCTCCATCGGCGACTGCCTCCATCGCACCGACTGCCTCCATCGCACCGACTGTGTATGAATCGATTTTGGCCTAACCTTCTCCTTCATCAGGTACACGATTGCCCTAACCTTCTCCTTCTCATCGCTATGTTTGAATCCCTTTGACTATATCATCATTTGTCGATTCGGATTCTGAGTTCTTAATTCGTTTCATAAAAAAATCAGATCTTGGTTTTGTGTATTCTGTTGTATTCGTAGCTGTGTTTTGATTTCAAAGTGTTGATTGGAATTGCATTTCTGCCAAGATGAGTGAGGTAACAGAAGTCAAACCCTTGATTTCACAATCTTCCTCTAGAAAACTTCCTGATTTCAAGAAATCTGTGAAGCTTAAGTATGTAAAACTGGGGTATCACTATCTTATAACCCATGGAATGTACCTTTGCTTGTCTCCTCTTRTTGTAGTTCTTGCTACTCAACTGTCAAATTTTTCGCTGCATACACCCTCCAAGATGTTTATGTTCTTTGCTGCTCAATTGCATTTCTCCTCCTGAGGTTTGAATTGATTTAGGGTTTGCTAGCAATTCAAAGAGAGTAAGATTCTGATCAATCGATTTCGATTTAGCAATTCAAAAATCGGCTGTTTAATCTAGCTGTTTAATCGGCTGTTTAATCGATTTCGATTTAATCTGCAGTAAGATTGATTTTGGTGAAAAAACACTAAACAGCTCATTGAGGGTAAATTGGTCATTTTAACCAGTTCTGTCCTTCCTGTCCTGTCTTACCAAATGCTGAACAGCTGTTCTGTCCTGTCCTGTCCCGTCCTGTCTTGTCCTGTCCCGTCCTGTCTGCGCACCAAACGCACCCTAAAAACTCTTTATTACGGGTACCATACTGAAATAAGTTAATAAACACTTTAAATTAGCAAATCCCAAACACCCCCTTAATACACAAAAAAATAAATACCAACGAATAAGAAAATATTTTGCATTAATGGGATGAATAATCCATAAGGCGAAAGGGACTTGAACCTTGATCATTTCTAATTTCATGTCCATTTATGAATTATGTTTTAGAAACCAATTGATCCGGTATATCTCGATGTACCTCATTAGTCAATTATGATTGATCCAAATGTGAAGATCTCTTCTTAAGCTTTTTACTGTAACTTCCTTCTAATCGGAACCCAACCCTAAGCCATAACCGGATTCATAGCTTATTCGATAAGCTATACATAATTGTTTGGTATTTAACATTATGCAGAAAGTCAAGTTTTTTTCCAATCCTGCCTCTACTAATTAAAAAACATATGCATTCACAAAAACATTCCAAAATTATAAACACCGATTAATTACACAAACAATTTTATTCATACAAGAAAATCAACCAATCAGCCTTTCATTTTTGTTTGTTTTTTGTCTATATTATATTATAAAGCATTTAAAGAGAACTTTTAAAAACATATTATGATGCATAAGGTATCATCAATTATAGCATGTAACTTAAAATTTAAGAATACAGTTTGTATTTGCTTTTGGTACAAATTGTTCAAAACACTACGTACACTCTAATCCTAATCCACACCCCTAAAAAGTCTCTTATACGTACCGACTTTGATACCTAAGCACATATAATGAGATACCCGGAGGACGGTGGCTGGGGGACGGAAAGAGAAGAGATGAGAGAAAATACCTAAAATGTTTTTGTATTAAAATTTTAATTCAAAATTACCAAAATTATAAATTTTCTAATTTATCTATAGATTTGTAATTATATATATATATATATATATACACACACGTACACACACATACATACATAAAGCTGTTGTGACTCGACATATAATCTAATTTAAACCGTTTAATACCATTACGTCATTAAACAATAGTAGAAAACATATTCGTCAGTATATAATATATAATACATAATACATAAAATATATTATATGGAGTCTTCACTATAAGTCTCGTCCTTATTATCGTCGTCGTGATCTTGTCGTAACTCTTAGAACATGAGATTTGACATCAGTGTCACGTCATGGACGACAATCGATTAAATACTACTGTTTTTGCATCCAGATACAATTCAAGAATGGTGTTTTTCATTATCTTTTGATAAAGATTCTTAGCTTGTGGCATTTGCATGATGCATTATGTCTTGGATTAGTAGTGTCAGATTCAGGTGAGAAGACCCTCCCTCCTTTATCGCTTTATTTGCCATCTTTCCGAGCTCTTTTGCTCTCTTTCGCCTCTCGTTTCCTTCGATCCCGTCATCCATCACCTTCTCGATAGCCTTCTTCACATCCTCATTCTTCACTTTCACACCATACCGATCTTCTTCGCCAACATGAATAACAGCATCGGCTCCAACACCAACACCAGTCCCCAATACTTGCACAATTAGCTTCTCGTTTATAAACTGCTCGGCAAATTGAGGCCACGTAATCAAGGGAACGCCAGCACACACTGCTTCTAGAGTCGAATTCCATCCACAGTGTGTTAAGAACCCTCCAACCGAGGGGTGAGACAAGATAAGCAATTGTGGCGCCCAACCTCGGATTAGCAACCCTCTGTCTTTGATCCTTTCCTCAAAACCACTTTCAGCTAACCATTCTTCGACCTCATTTGATCTATGAACGGATCTAACCACCCAAATGAACGGACGGTTGGATGCTTCAAGGCCTAACCCGAGCTCGATGAGTTGTGGAGTGTTAACCCGAACAAGGCTACCAAAACAAGCGTAAACCACAGATTCGGGTTCGTGGGAATCGAGCCACTTCAGGCATTGTTCTTCATCGATCGAAGCTACGTTTCCTCTTTGAGCGTTATCAGAATCGTCACTATTGCATAGCGACAATGGCCCGATACACCAAACCTTACCCCCTCTTAACTTCTTATACTCGTTCACGTATTCTTGTTCTAACTCCTCAAAACTATTGATCACAACTCCATAAGCCCTCACCTCGGAATCCCTAGCCTGTTGACGAAACTCGCTTGTGTCAATCGAGCTCGGGTTAAACTCGGCTGGGAGTTGGTTTCTCCTTAGCTCGATCCTATCAGGTAAACCAGGGACTATAAATGGTTCTGATTCAGGCAAACAGTCGAACACCTTGGATACATACAAATTGTTGCAACATAATTCGTTAAAACAACTCATTCCATCAAACATGATTCTTGGTATGTGATATTTATCAGCAGTTTCACCTGTCCACGACATGTACTTATCAGATATAATACAATTTGGAGGAGGGTTCAGCATCCCAAAACGATCTTCAAGCTTTTGCTGTAGCATACCAATTGCAGCTAAAAAGTTTGGGACTAAATCCAAACTAGGGATCTTATCTGTGGTTTCACATCCTTCAGGCAATCCAGCCTCAGCTGCCGGAAATGGGAGCTCAAGGAATTGGACGGAAAGTCCGGCGTTGATGGATCCGGCGAGAGTGGCACCGAATCGGGTGGCATTGAGAGGCGTGGTGGCGATGGTGACCATAACATTAGGTTGTTTTGCAAGTAGTTTGGCCATGTCGATCATAGGAATGGAATGGCCAGGACCTATGTGGGGAACCAAAAGGAAGTGGAGGCGGTGGGCGGCCATTGTTGGCGATGAATCGGAGAATCTTGAGGTTGATCGCCTCTAGCTTCTACGCGATTAGTTTGATGAGAGAAGCGTTGGAGGTTGCGTATTTATAAAGAGAAAGTAATCATTTTGTGTTGGCGAGGATGATTAGTCTCTGAATCTTCTTGGAATCTGCCATGTGAGTTGAAAAATCAAAAGCGTGAAAGGATTTGCTTCCATGAAATCAATAGAAATAGCGATTTTTATGTTTAGGATTTGCTTCCATGAAATCATCAGTTTGTAACTTTTTTTAAATTTAGAAATTTCTTTTTTTTTCTCTCTAATTTAACATAAATTCAGAAAAGCTGTCAAACCTTTATTTTAATATCGTTGGGTTGGAAATGCTAGTTTAAAAGGGATTGGGTTTGAGTGAAAGAAAGAGAGATAAAGTGAGAAGCATAAGAAGGGATATTTATTTTTGGATATACATTAAGGGGCTGTTTGTTTGCCTCTTAATAGCGACATTAAGAGGGTGTCTCTTAATCGGTAAGAGGTAGAGGCTGTTTGGCAAAAAAAATTGAGCCTCTTAATGGTGACAATTACCTCTTAACGATTTAGCATCTAAGGCTTCACTCAACCATTCAGATACCATTTCTTCCATCTTTACCCTTCCTTCCACGTCGCCTTCACAATCCTTCCCACCCACTCATCTCTTCCAGCTTGGGCTTCACAGCTTCGTCCATGAGTTCACCGTCTCCATCTCCGGTTACCTTCACCGTCTCCATCTCCGGTCACCTTCACCGTCTCCATCTCCGGTCACTGGCAGATCCGATGGTGGAGCAACCTCCACCGCCCCTGACCTCTTCTTCAGCAGCACAACTACTCCCAGCCACCTCCGGTTTTGTGGTCTCAGAAGAGAAGCATTTTCTAGATGAAAGTCGTCTAACAATGAACTTCTGTTGAAGCAATTGCGTCCCACGAAGAAGATTTCGGCTTCCTCGTCCAGGAACGGGACTCCATCTAAGGGTTTTGATTATGATCTTGTCATTATTGGAGCTGGTGTTAGAATCGTGCTTCCCTGGAACAATTTTGGATTTAATCAATTTTGGGATCGCCCTTGTTGATTGCTCTTTCCGGTGCTTCTGTTATGCCCCTTCTTTGTTTGGAGATTTTGGATTTAATCATTCTTGTACTTAAATCATACCAGGGTTATAATGGTAATTTGTTGTCATTCAGATAACAGTTACCAAACAACATTATTTCATTCAGCACTTAACCATTCTGACCCTTTTAACCATTCTGACCTCTTAACTATTCTGCACTAAATCATTCAGCAACTGCCAAACAGCCCTTAAGATGAGATACATCGGATCAATCTCATTATCAAGCATCATTCATGGGTGGTTTTGAAATTAAAGGTGATCAAGGGTCCACATCTCTTCTTACGCTCCTTACTTTAACTCTTCTTCACACACGATCATTCGTCGTTAAAGAGTACTCCAACATCTTTTTCATAATTTATTGGACAAAGAAGTAATAATTAAGTTCAATGGCGAAGAATCGTGTAAGAATGAGAGTTTAGATGATAAGCGTAAGAAGAGATCTGGATGCATGACCATTTTTAATCTCAAATTCACTCATGAATCGTATTTGATACGGTGATTGATTTGGTGCATCCCATTTTAATGTGCATCCAAGAGTGAAAAAGGGATCTTGACGCACATCCCTGCTTCAACCATTCTACTACCATTACTGTCATGCCCCTAACCTAAACCCCACCACCACACCATTATTGTCGTCGTTACAACTGCCACTCATCCCCTCCCCACACTACCCCAACCCACCACTAACCACCATGCCACTATTGTCACCGTCGTACCCACCCACTCCCAGCCATCCGACCACTGTCGTCGCGACAGCTACCACCCCGCCTTCCATCCCCACCGCCCTAACCAAACGCATGGTCAAATTCCATCAAATTTCATTCTAATTCCTTCATAGTCAAATTTCTTTGATCAATTCTAATTCCATTCTATGAACCAAACACCCCTTAGAGGTCGTTTATCATAAATTTATTGGGCAAGTGTTTATCGATTTTTTTTACTCTCATTATATTATTATGTAACATTATTAATCATCAAAATAAATTTCTATTAGGTAAGTGTCCTTTTCCTCACTTACCTGATAAGTCTTTCGATATTTGTTATGATGCTCAATGATTTAAATCAACGTTTAACATAAAACGAGCCTCCTTATATGTAATAATATCCTTTTGCTTGGTTGCTCTTATACAGCAATAGAAAAGTATAGAAGGTGAAGAACCTTCAAGAATATTAAATATACTAAAAAAAACAAACATTTTTCACCTTAAAAAGTAAAAAAAATTTATTCGATGTAATTTTTTTAAAATAGAGTATTATCTCATCAGGTATGAGGAAGGTATGTGAGTTTATTTGTTTAATTTACTCTACAGCTGAAGCTAGCGGGGTTTGGAATCAAACCCAAAACGTGCTTTATATTTAAGTAAAGTCACCCGAACACAAGGCCACTTGAGCTACAATAGCTACAAACGAGATTATAAACTCATCTACTCTAAAACTATGGAGTTGTTTCGGGTTTTGGAATATGTTGAGATTTCTTTAAATATACTAATAAATATATATGAAAAACTCACATGGTATTCATATTTGATGAGATTTGAACTCTTAACCTGAGTACGACCGGTGGAGATTCATGTCCCTTATTTGTTGTATGAGTAGTTTCAAGTTCATGTGAGAAGAGCCTCCCTCTTCTATTGCTCTATTTGCTATTTTCCCGAGTTCTTTCGCTTTCTTTCTTCTCTCAATTCCTTCGATCCCCGAATCCATGACCTTCAATATAGCCTTCTTAACATCCACGCTCTTCATCTTCACTCCAAACTTCTCTTCTTCCCCCCAATGAACGACAAATTGGGCCCCGACACCGACGCCAGTCCCTAAAACTTGTACCACTAACTTCTCGTTCAAAAACTGCTCCGCAAACTGAGGCCATGTGATCATGGGCACGCAGGAACACACTCCCTCCAAAATTGAGTTCCACCCACAGTGTGTCAAGAACCCTCCGATCGAGGGGTGGGACAAGATCGACAACTGTGGAGCCCACCCTCGTATCAAAAGCCCACGATCTTTAACCCTCTCTTCAAATCCACTTTCTACTATCCATTGCTCAACCTCTCTGTCCCTAATTACCCAAATGAACGGGTGATCGGACGCTTCTAGGCCTAAACCAAGTTCGATAAGTTGCATAGGGTTAACCCGACTAACACTACCAAGACAAGCGTAAACCACCAATCCATGTGGGTGTGAATCGAGCCATTCCATGCATTGTTGCTCGGAAATTGAGGCAATTTTTCCCCTTTGAGCCTTATCGTTATAGGTGCATAATGATAATGGACCTATGCACCAAACTTTACCCCCTTTCAACTTCTTGTACTCATTAACATATTCTTGTTCCAACTCCTCGAAACTATTGATCACAATTCCAACAGATCGCAACACGGTTTCCCTCACCCGTTCAAGACGCTCACTCGTGGTGTGTGTGCTTGGGTTGAACTCGACTGGCAGCTGGGATCTCGTTAGCTCGATGCGGTCAGGCAATCCAGGGACGACAAAGGTCTCTGACTCAGGCAAACCATCGAACACCTTGGATTCATACAAATTGTGATCACATAACTGTTTGAAACAACTCATTCCATCAAAAATGACTCTGGGTAGTTGATATTTATCGGCCGTATCAGCAGTCCATGGCAGGTACTTATCGGATACGATACAGCTCGGTGGAGGACTCAACGTCTTGAAACATTGTTCGAGTTTGGATTGAAGCATGTCAACTGCATCTGCAAACTTTAGTGCTAGATCAGGACTAGGCAGAGCATCTAGACTTTCACACCCCTCTGGTAATCCAACCTCCATCGCCGGAAACGGAAGTTGAAGGAAACCCACCGGGAGTCCGGGTTTGTTGAGGACGGGACCATATCGAACGGCGTTGAGGGGTGTGGTGACGACGGTGACAGTCACATCCGGTTGCTGTGCGAGCAATTTGGCCATGTCAATCATGGGGATTGTGTGGCCAGGGGCTAGGTATGGAATCAAGAGGAAATGAAGCTCGTTGATAGATTTGGAAGCCATGGCCAACCTTCTTGGGAGATTGAGGGTTGATGATCGGTGATTATGATGTCACTATATTTTCTGTTGTGTACCGAAGGATGGAAGATCAATACCATGGTTGAAAAGTAGATGCCGTAGGAAACATGGTCTTGCGGCTTCTTTCTAGAACTTGCTTTGTTTAAAAAATTATCGGTTAAAAGTTATGATTCTCATTTATTTTATTTAGTAATTTTTTTTATTAATCTAAATATACAATCCGTTATGCGAGCCGATTAATATTATGACGACCACTTGTTTTGCAGATAGCCTGGAGTCATCATATTTGAACCTCAGTAGCTACAATGGGATTTTTATTCTTACTTAGATTTGAACTCGGGACCTCCAGGTACTTTTGATATTTGGAGCCAAGTTCAAACCAACCAGGCACCACCCTTATGTTAACTTTTTCTTACCCTACGAACATTAATTAGATAAGAGTTTTTTCCTCTCATTACCGACTAAGATTTCTGATCTTACCATCATCAATGAGTACGTCAAATCACGTTCAATATACGCTTATAGTAAATGTTTAATAAACCACTCTTTATTCGCCACACTTTATTTTGGCCTTATTACTTTTAGAGTAAAAGACAAAAAATCGATAAAAGGACAAAAAAAGTCCCTCATTTAACCGAATTTTTTAATGACTGTTAGATAGATTAATTAAATCCGGACGTTTTTACAAACTATGATAAACATCTTGTAATTTTGATACTGAAGGGATGGTGTTACTTTTTCCAAACTACAGGAACCAAATTTAGGGTTTTACTGAAATTTTATGAGAGAGACAAATATTCAACTACTTGTACTTGAACGATTTTATTGGCAGAAATCGAATTCATAGAAAACCCCTTTTCGGGTCTGGATTTTTCGTGTCGATTCTGTCGTCGTTTTCGATAGGGAGACAAAGTAGTCTCTTGTACTGACCGAACCCTCAGTTCGGAGGTCTCCAATGAAGATGAATATTTCACATGAAGAAGTGTGCATTTTTATGTTAAACGATAATGACCAAATATATAAATAACCTAACTGTATGGAAATATTTAATTATGTAATCATAAATAATAATAAAATAATATAATGTTTTTATGTATTGATTTTTATATCAAAAATATATAGTTTTATTAAAAGGAAACGTTCAGAAAAACCAACAAACGATCGTGTTTTGAGTGATTAAGTCTTTAAACTATTTTTTGAATGAAAAACCATAAACTTTCTCGTTTTGAATAACTAAGTTCCTAAATTATTTTTTTAAATGAAAAACCATTAAATTTTCTTATTTTGAACTAGAAGGGTACTCGTGTAATACAGCGAGATACATCTCGATTTAATTGTTTCGTTTTATTCTGTCTGAGTCGATGTTATAATACAATTTTTTGTGGTACTGAAAAATCGATAATATTTTTATTTTTTGAATAAAAAAATTGAAGGTATCGTAAAATTTTGAAAAAAAAATGTATCGATTTTAGTATCAAATTAAATATTTAAAAGTTTTTTTTTTTGTGTAATCTTTTTAATTCAATTTTTTATTATAATTTAATTTTGATTTAATAATGAAGTCATCTATTTTTAGTTTAATAATATAATTTTTTTATATAGATAATAATTAATATTTTGTTAGAATTTAATGATTATCCTAAATATATTTTAGTATATTTAAAATGAGATACATATCCAATATTTGATTATGTTTATCTACGGTTAATTACACGAATTCAAACATGAAGCTTTAATAAGTTGTATATACGTACAATTTATTTGTAATCTTGAATTTAAGTAATATGCATCAATAAACAGTACATAATACATAAAAAATGGTTTTTAAGAATATTTGTTAAATGATTTATAATATATTATAGATTAAGAAACCATTTAAAACTTTCTCATTTTGAATGATTAAGTCCCTGAACATTTTTTAGTATATTAAACCATCGAACTTTTAAAAAATTGGTTACCTGCATCCTTTTAACCCAAAAAAAAACTATGTATAATCGGTTGTCTTTTGATTCTCCTCATTTTGATGGCTAAAAGTAGATCAAAAAGAGGTAGATCGATGGCAGGGGCCAACAATATGTTAGACAATACAGAGAACAGACAACGTTTGGGTAATGGGGAATGATACTATTGTTTGTGAGAGATTTTAACATCGTAAGGTTTGGAAATGGTAAAATTGATAGTTTGCTTTTTCTTTAAAATTTTCCTACTCAGTTACAAATAGTTTTTTTTTTAAGATGTAGGTTACATATTTTTAGAAGTTCGATGGTCAAAAAAAGTTTAGGGACTTAATTATTCAAAATGAGAAAGTTTAATGGTTTTTTATTCAAAAAATAGTTCAGAGACTTAATCATTCAAAATGAGAAGATTTTATGATTTTTTTATCCATAAAATAATTCAGTGACTTAATTATTCAAAACGGGATAGTTTATTGAGTTTTTCTAAACTTTCCCCTTTATTAAATTGAAAAGACTAAAATACTAACAAAATATCCAAAAAAGATATTTAATAAACTAAAAATAAAAAATAATCAAAATGACAAAAATACCCTTAAGTTGATGGAGAATTTTTGACATATTTAATTTTAGGGACTAAAACAACAATAAATTACAAACCTAGAGATGAAAATGGTAATTTTAAAATTACAGAGATAAAAATTACAGTCTTTTTTAAACTATAAGGACGAAAATCGTAGCTTACTCCAAAATTTATAAGTTATTGTTATGTTCCGATTTTCTTTTGGGAGTGTAATTATTGTGTATTCTAAGAGGGTGTTTTGGATTGCTTATTTAAACAGCTTATTGATTTATTTCGTATGTGATATCGGTAATAAACAGTTTTTAGTGTTTCAATTGGGAAAAATAAAAAAATGTTTATACCAGTGTCAAATTGGTAGTAAGAAGTTTTTGATGAGTTACTCCCTTCTAACATATCATATTCAATTTATTAGCTTTGAAACCAATTTACCTTTTTAACCCTAAATCATTCTTACTTCCTAAGAACACAATTCGCCTATAGAAATTAAAATCGACCTTCAAGTACAAGAAATCGAAATCGAAATCGAACATAGAAATAGATTTTCACCAACAGAAATCAAAATCGACCTTCAAATACAAGAAATCGACCTTCACTTACAGAAATTGAAATCAAAATCAAAATCAAAATCGACGAAATTGAAGTCGACCTACATAAATCAAAATCATACGATAATTAGGGTTTTAAATAACACGAGTTAGTTTTAAATAAGCAATCCCATGCCAAACACCCCTCAATGTTTCTCGATAAGGGTTTAGGGTTTATAGGAGTTGCGAAAATGGCGATGATGATGAAAGGGTTTAAGATTTCGAAGCTAATTTGTTTCACCATTTCTGATTACAGTCGTCAGCACCAATCTCTTGGTCGAACTCGTCATCATGTAGATTCGCCATTGTTCAGATTGTTTTCTTCTTCATCATATAATAATAGGTCTAACGATGGTGGTCGACCACCACCACCAAGACGACGCTCCGGCAGCACATCAGATCGTCCGCCATCTTCATCACGACTTTCTGGTTTCATTGACGGTAATGATGACCGCGGCGCCGGTGACAATAGGGGACGAGGACACGGAGGTGGAAGAAGGGATTTTGACACCAACCGGAAACCTAATTACCAAAATCATGGTGAGTATAGGCCGAGTAACAGAGCATCATATGAAGTAAACAATACCGATCATCGAAAATCAGAAAGTAATAGCTGTTATGTCCCATTTGATGATGATGAACAGAAACCCCCAATTTCCCCTCGTCGAGGAGTTAACGATAATAAGATTCAGGATGTTGATGGGTTTCTCGATAGGTTTAAGCTTGGATTTGATCAAGAAAACAAGCCAAATTCTGACAAATTGGATAGCAGCAGGGGTACCGGAGAGGGAGAAGCAGTGGCTGAAGCACCACCACCATCACCGCCACCTCCTCCGCCACCAGAAGATGCTGATGAAATATTCAGGAAAATGAAGGAAACTGGACTGATCCCAAATGCAGTAGCAATGCTTCATGGTTTGTGCAGTGATGGATTGGTTCAAGAAGCAATGAAGCTGTTTGGTTTAATGCGTGAAAGAGGATCTATTCCTGAGGTGGTTGTATACACAGCAGTTGTGGAAGGCTTCTGCAAGTCTCAGAAACCCGATGAAGCCATGAGAATTTTCAAGAAAATGCAGAACAATGGTATTGTACCCAATGCATTTAGTTATGGAGTCCTGGTTCAAGGTTTATATAAAGGGAAAAGGTTAGATGAAGCTCTTGAATTTTGTGTGGAGATGGTGGAGGCTGGTCATTCACCTAACTTGGCTACATTTACGGGTTTGGTAAACGGGTTTTGTAGGGAAAGGGGTTTGGAAGCTGCTGAAACCATGATTAATAATTTGAAAGAGAAAGGGTTTGGATTTGATGAGAAAGCTGTAAGAGAGTTCATGGAGAAGAAAGGCCCATTCTTGCCTTTGGTTTGGGAGGCAATCCTTGGAAAGAAAAGTTCACAAATGTTCTAATCTTAGCTATTGTTGTCAAAACTTCTACAAAGTTGCTTCAGCAAGAAGTTTGTGGTTTCTTATTCCTGAACTTGTTATTTATGCATCAGTGCAAGAGTAGTTGATTAGTTGATATTGAAAACTGAATCTTGATTATAATACATAGAGTTAGCTTAAGAAACTTGATAATGGTGAAGTTGTAAGCTGATAAGCTATCCTTGTGGCCTTGTGGCTATGGAGGTTACCAACTTTAGACCATTAGTTGTCACATGGGGATTTGTGGAGCTTTTTTTGGGATTTTTAGTCTAATCAGGATTTCCAAAAAAATTCAGATTGGACTGTTTTCGGGTCAGGCATGTCCCTAAAATTTCGGTCTAACTGGGCTTCAGGCTCACTAGGACCGAGGCTGGACCAGCTTTCGGACTTGAGCTTTTTGTGCATCTCTACCTTGAATGCATGAAAACCGTTCGAAAATTTTGATATGGTCATATGAACGTTAGAGAATATTTTCTTTAAATTTGAACATTGGATACGTTCCGATTTCCGATGAGTATTTTGGGAAAAAGATGTATAACTTTGGAGTAAATTTTTTAATAATTGCACAATTAGATTTAGAGCATATATTTGATGTATTTAACTTCGTTGAGCACAAAAACTCGATTTTTTGATTTTAAATTCCATCTTATTTTTTAAAATAGAAATACTATCAAACATGGTTTTATTCATTCATAAATAGAAAATTCAACTCTCTTTGTACCACTAAAACCATAAATCTAATGAAACAAACCAGTCGACCAATGATTTTCTAAAAATATTTGTAGCTTCGATTTTTATTTTTTCGACTTATTCTTGAGGGAACCACAACTCCCTGAGCATTATCGTTGTAAAAACAAAAAACAAAATTGAATATGTTATAATAAAAAAATTACACTGCAAAAACTCGTAAAGATGGACATATTTTCTTTAAGTTACAAATTCATATATTTTACAATTGTATTAATTTACTATCAATTCAGAAACGGGTTCAACACACAATTTATTATAATTATATACTTTTATTTATTTGTTTATTAAAAAGATTGAGTTTACTTGAGCAATATCCAAAAAACTTGCTTAAAAAGTCACAAGAAACAAAAAGTAAAACAAAAATAAAAAACATATATTTAAAATTATTAATTAACACTTTCATTTTATATAAATTAGTTTTTATAAACTTCAAAAAATAACCATGGATGCTCTAAACATCAAAATTTCTCTAAAATTAAGAATTAAAAATTAAAATCTTCAAAAAAGAATTGCATTCAACTCCAAAATTTGTTTGTGCAGAAAAGCCTCCAAAATCTTTCGTTTTCTCCATTTTAAGAAATCCGTTTGAGATTGCGCTAACCTTTAACTTCTAAAAATCTTCCTTTTTGCACAAGATTACTTAGGGGTGCTTGGTTGGGGTCGGAGAGGGTGGGAAATGAGAGTGAAAATGGAAACAAAAATCATTAATAATATCTAGTATTATACAGCGGAATCTGGTATTACTAGATATCGAGTAATGAAACATTCCATAACAAACGGGAGGGTATGAAACTCACTTTCATCTCCATCCCGAACATTCTCATTCTTATTTCCATTTCCAAAAACAGACCAAACGCCCCCTTAATCATACAGAAACCATGATGCATACCATAAGAACACGAAAAAGAAAAAACACATCACGAGTCTAAATCTCCACACACATTCATAGGAAATCCAAAGCCGGTTCATGTTCTAAGAACCGAACACATTATTCCTAAGACCCCTAGAAAACACAAACCAGTTAAACATAGTAGAAAGCATCCATCCAAGATGTTTACAGTTTGTTACCTTAATCCATCAAACGGAACAAAATCCAACAGGGTATTGCACAAAACGAAAACGGTATTCATTGCTGCTTACCCCATAGAAAGACTGAAACGGACACCATCTTCGAATGTGATTTCACCTTCAGGGACCTCCTTTTCTAGCATAGACGTCCCACGAAATGCTACCATTGAGGTCAATGTTTGCCTGTATTCACTAAGCTGAAACCCCACCAAACCATTATAAGTTGTTTGTTTTGAGGATGAATGAAGCTTCATTCACAATGAATAAGAAATCACATAATACCTCTTTTGGGATCACTTTAATGAAACCCAATCTGTTGGTCCAAAGGGATTTAGCATCCTCAGCAGCTGGAATCACAATCTTCTTAATGTTCAAATATGAGAGCATTCTCTCAAAGCAAGTGAAGAAAAGTTGAAAGAAGCCCTGCCAATAAGTAACCGGAATCACTACTACATAAACTGCTTGCTTCAAACTAATATTCTGAATAGGCATAGTGATTTTAGGACTCAAGTGATCTAAAATAAACCAAAATTGTACATAATAATTAATGATGGAAATGGGTAATGCTATGATTTTAAGATATGAACCAAGCAACCTACCCTCACCCCAACCAAATCAGAAGAACCGAGTGAATCTCACAAGGAGTAGGGTCTACGGAGGGATGATGTATGCAGACCTTACCTCTATCCCAATGAGTAGAAATGTTGTCTCTATGAGGACTCTCGGCTTTTAGAAAGGGTTTGAGAAAAAGAATTTGTGAAAATATATTGGTCCCGGAAGTTTGAAAGAAAAGAAAAAGATAAACAAATAAATGAAAGAAAATTTGAACATTAAGAAACGGTTTTCTATTACCAAGTTTGAAGTTCACAAGCTAATCAGGTGCTCAGCTACAAATGAGCATATCAATGATAATTTGGTTAATTTACATGCCCTTCCTGGATAAATATCGATGCAAATTTGATTATTTATTTTAGTGGGATATACTGTTTAAGTTTGGTTTGGTACTTTGGTGTATTGATTTACTTCCATTTTTGGGATTCATATCAATGCAAAATTTATTTTCTGCGAATTAGAAAGTTGATTCAGCGACTCTGAACTACTCGAAACAGTTAAACAACTAGCTAGAAAAGAGGTAACAGGAGTGAGATGCTATGAAACTCTATCATTAATAATTTAATATAGGTAAAGCGGAATAGATTAACAAGATGGTGTGAGCACAGTGATTTTGGAGAGAATAATATACTCACCTTTCCTTGTTCAGGTTTACTAGTAGCAACTATTGGGAGCTCAGCAACGTCCTGCCCAAAAATACGGAACATCCCAGCTGTAATAACACTTGACCTGCACAATTAGCATAAGAATCGTTATTAAGATCACCACCAAATTTGGAGAAATTTTACAGGAGTAATAATAACTTCAAATAACCTGCAATAATATACTGAAGCAGAGTCTAGCCTATCTATTGCTAGAACAAGTTCAACGTATATTATACCAAGGAAAGTTCAAATGAGAACCATAAATACTTTGTGAACATGGAAATCAACTATTTCATGAGTTATTCATGATGAATAACCTTAAAAAAAGTTCATGAATTATTCAATATTCATTATGAATATCATGATATTCATCATGAGTAGTTGGTTCCCCTGTTCTCAAACTATTTATGGTTCTCATCTGAACCTGCCCTCTCTTACACTTCCATTAAGCCAATAATTCTGACAGGAGCAACAAATGTATACGCAGTGACAAGCACACAAATAAATACAAAAATGAAAATGGTCTCTTTACCCTCTCATCAACATTGCGCAATGCACTCCTGAAAAGTCTGAATCGCCCATTTTCATTCTGTTGGTTGGAGAGAAAAGAAAGAAAGAAAGTTTTAGGTGTTAAAGAACAAATAGAGAACTAACTATTCAATAAGTAATTTGTTTTTTACGCTTACCCATAAGCCATCGATGGGATAAAATCACTTCCAGTTGTTGAATCAATAATAGGATCGAAGCATTCCTGTTGGTATGAAAACAACAGAATAAACTGTTACTAATTAAGCTCATAGTGCCCATTTTGGACCTTGAAAACAACGAACTAGGGGTGTTCATCTAAGTGGCCAAACTGCCCACACCGCATCACAACTTGCAGTTTAGAGCTTGCACGGTGCGGTTTGCGGTTTGCAATTTTATTAAACAGCACTTTGCGGTGTGGTTTGTGGTTTTGAATCTTCAAATCGCGGTTCAAACCGCACCACACTGCACATTTTTATATATTTTAAAAATACATTATCAATAATATATTATAAAATAACTAATACATTTTTCAGTTTTAATTACAAATTCCTTATTTGAGTTATTTTCTTTTGTCTTCTATCACACATCATTGTCGAATTTATTTTGAATTTCACTTTTCAGATGTCTTTGGATTATTTATGGAACTCTTTAGTTTCTTTCACTATTTTTAATTACACATTTAATACGTATTATAACTTTTGGTTGTAAGGAATATGGAAAAAAAATCGTCAACTTCATTTTGATGTTGTGATTTTATAATTATTGGCTTGAAATGCGCTAGGTCCAAACCACACCACATTTCCTGGTACGGTTTTTTGCGGTTTGAGCATATGCGGTGCGGTTTGTGGTTTGGGAAAATCTTCAAACCGCATATGCTGTGCGGTTTGGCCCTAAACTGCACCGCGAACCCTACAATGGAACACGTATAAATTTGCATGAATTAATCTGTAGCACTGTAGAGTGTAAGCAATACTCACATGAAAGATATCAACAGCTTCTGAAAGCAATAATTGGTGCTCATGTAAAGCATCCTTGCCACAGAGAACAATCCACTCCATGTCAAAAATGAAACCATTGGCATCACTTTCCTTCCACTTATTCCTAACTATGTCCATAAGAAAATCAGGGACCCTCTCCGGTCCACATGTTCTCAAATCCTTAAGAACAGAGTGAATTCTATCACAATCCACGCAGCAAAACCAATTTCCAACGGGTAATTCCTGTAACACATGGACAGTCATATTGGATCTTGCGAAAACTTCATTGTTATATGGGACTGTAAGAAATTATAATTGGGCAAAATGCATTAGATGCAACGAAATTTTTCTTAATTCCTATTTGGTGAAACAAATAATCTTTTTCTCTCAATAAATATAACAAAGTTTTAAGATTTCTTATTTAATGTAACAAAGTTTCAAAATTTCTCAACCAATGTAATGAAGTTTCAAAAACATTCTACCTAATCTCACATTTGGTGATGTGAATATCAAGTTTATCGTCCATTTCACCATAAACTCATTCATAAACCTTCCGTAAATGGGATCCTCATCATCAAATGTTACAAAATGAACACGTTATCGGTTAAATGGGTACAAAATAGAAAATTTTGAAACTTTATTACATCGAGCGAGAAAAAAGATTCTTCCTTGCACTAGATTAGAACTAAAAACCAGACATTGTTGCATTTTGATACATTTTGCCCATTATAATTTCCACAAAAATAAGAATTTATTATATACACTGATGAAGAAAAAGACTTTAAAATGAACCCACCTTCAGATCATCAATCTTGTGCTCCCTCAGACAGCCTATATGGAATTCCTTTTCACACTGTGAGGTAATGAAATATGAATTAGCGCATAGATCTAAGAAGCAGCATGAAAACAAACAGCTGAACTCTACATGAGCAACTCACAAGTAGGAAAGTAACAGGCAAACATTGTTAACTACCTGATCACAAACAATAACAGTCCGATCATTGAAACCATCTTGGCTGAAGTCATAGGATCTGTATAGAACCAAGTTATTCAAACAGGATTACACAATTTGATAAAGATGAAGCAAGGTTTTGTTGCCATAATATAGCACAAATAGAGTTCCAAAGACACAAAACATGGCTCATCATTTCTTGCAAAACAGTGTTACCTGCATAATGAACATGCAACAAGGTCAAATTTATCTGGATTATCAACAATGCGAATGCAACGCTTTGTTATCTGCTCTATTGGATCAACTCCTGAAATTCTTCCAGCGGCCAGAGAGTTTGCTCTCTGATCCACGGGCTTCATAGATTTTTGGCAACATGGGCAAAACCATTTCCCTCGAAACCATTTCCCGGTAAACACTTTCCCAGGAGTGGTGCTTTTTTCATGGAGACATGCTGTGTGACCAAAAGAATGCAAATCAGATTCCCTTATGAGACAACCACAGCGAGCAACTTATCAACTCATCATTTATCACAGAGCATTCCCGTTGAATCGAATCAAATACACATATATCCCTTGTTGGTTTATATAGTATACTAGCCTATCTGTGAAAAACGAAGATAAACGACGCATATCCTTTGGGTTTAGGATCCTAGTGAGGAGAACGAAGTGGCATCCTTCAGCCAGCAAAATATTATTTGTAAGGTACATATACAGATGAGACATAATTTAATACAGATGAGACATAATTAAGAAACTTATCAATTTGAACATGGGACTCTGGAGATATAGCCAAAAATGGACAGAACTAGGAGCAAGCACAGAATAATTTGTTTTTTTAACCAATTATCACCCTCCTAATAAGCATAAAAAAATGCAAAAATAACAGAGAAACTGCTTCTAATATGGTTAGAGGTAGGTAACAGGATGTCAAACAGATTTTGGTGTAAACGACTGTTTGCTGTTCGTTGTCCAGGACTCAAGATATCTATTTAATCAGAATGTTCTGAATAACAAATACCGAGTTAACTATGATAAAAATAGGATTACTTCCTCCATCCCGAAATAAATGTCCACAATAAAAAAGACTCGGTTATAAGAATATATAGTTATAGCGCTTTTTAATTAAACAAAGGACAAATTACCCTTAATAATAGAGAGAGAGAGAGAGAAAATTTCAGTCTCATAGTTATCGGTAAAATGGGAAAGCAGATACTTAGTTTTGAAAGTGGAAGCTTATTTTGGCACAAACTAAAATAGAAATGTGGACACTTATTTTGGGACCGAGAGAGTACTATATTTATCCCAAAAAGAGTAATACTTTATAGCTACGATAATCATGTACTTACTAGTTGAAGTAAATGAAACCGATCAAAAACTTATGCTAAAGAAACTGAAATACCCAAACACCTAAAAGACCCTATACATCAGAATCACAACCAATTCACCGTACAAGAATCAGATGAAATGACAAAAATAATAATTGTGGCTTCTTTCCCAATAGACAATATGAACTGAACAAAGTTTAGATCTCTGTTTATGTAATGAATTACAACAAGAATGGTGAAAAATTCCATTCCATAAAAGAGAAAGGTAGGGAGTGCGTTTCTGGTTGTAAACGTTTGATACTGATTTTTATAAGCAAAGCAAGTATAAAACACTCGAAGTAACTGGCTAGCACACTAACATAATAAAACAACAAAACAAAACCAATACTCAATTTAAACTCTACCTTCATGATAGGACCTAGGGCATCCAGCACAGAGCATTAGGTCTTCACCTTCCGAACAATGTCTACATATGTCGTCATTCTGCTTTGCCAGACGCTCACAATTTAGTTTCAAGGAAGAGGCATATTCATGAAGAGACACCCCGCTTGAGACAAAGATATTCCCATAGCTGGCAATGTTTGAATACAAAAATATCAACAAATTATACAGAAAAATTGAAGGAAACATGTCTATGCATGTGTGTGTGTGTGTTTTTGGTGGAGAAACTCACGGCTTTTTGCGGGAGGCCTGGCCAGCATGAGCTTCAAACTGTGACGGGCTGACCTATTCACAGATTGAAAGAAAATCATTTCATCCTCTATGCCAAAAGTCTAAGGTCCCATTTGGTTTGCAGGATTGTATTGGATTTAGAGGGATTTGGAATTGAATTCCATTCCAATCCCATGTTTGGTTTGAAGGATTGCTTGGATTTGAAATCCCGGGATTTCCTAGAAATCCCACAAACATGGGATTCAGAAATCCCATTGGGGGTTGTTATTTCGCGGGATTTTGTTGGATTAATGCGTAATAATGTTTTAAAATATGTAGAAGAACATTTGTTTTATAACAATCTGCTTATAAAAGGTAATTTAATTATTTTTATAATTATTTACAATTTGTTCTTATAAATTATTTATAAAAAATGGAATTCAATTACATTTCAAATCCTACAAACCAAACACACCAAAAATTCCAAATCCAAATCCCTCCAATTCCAAATCCTTCCACAAAATCCAAATCCCTCAAAACCATTCCATCAAACCAAACGCCCCCTAAGGGTCAAAAAAGAAGTACCTCAGTATTGCAGCAATAACAGAATATCCCACGGCCCAGCTTATAACCCTCTAGCAGTCTCTGTCATGAAGAGGATGTTAGATTAATGAAATAATACAGTGATCTAATATTGGCATACGTATTGTACTACCTCTCCATGATTAATATAAGCTACTTTAGATCCATCAGGTAATCCTCCTTCCCGAAATATCAACCGGTTCATCTGCTGATCCCTTGACAATTGAAAACATCACAAGATTCAAAAGGTTACTTTCCTGCATGTTATGATATGGTTTAACAAGTAACTTGATTAAAATTAGGGATCAACTTTAATGTTGGACGACTCCGAGGTTTAGTTTCACCATTGGTTGACTCCTGTGCAGAAGCAGACTTTGATGACCTGAAACACCCAAAAGATATTAGCACTTTCCTGGAGAGAATGATATAAGTTCAACACCATTTTTCGCATCTACCCTTTACTATAATCATGTAGAAATTTAATATCGGGGAAGAGAATATTAATGGGTTTTGGTTCCAATACACCAACCTTTTCCGCCGTATTTTCCCTTTTATCTTATGAAGTGACAAGTTAAAATCCGCAGCACTTTTCCTGGATTTTGGAACTGACCTCAATGACCTGAAACTCACACCATAAAAATGTCATAAAAGAGACGGGCATTACCTTCCTCAAGTTTAAAACCAGGAAAAGGGTCTATTATTATAGTTTAAAAGAAGAGAACCCACTTCATTATTGCCTTCCGTTGACTCTGCTCTTCATATGAATTTCCCTCCATAATACTTCCAGGGACGTTAGTCCTACGGAACTGCAGAAACACGGTAGGATGATATGAGAGGCAATATCAGAAAAGTTATAAATTTGATACCATGTTTTATGAACAAATATGTGTATTAATTGCAAACTCTAGCTCTGATGTTCAAAGATAATGGCAAGATCTTTGCTTTCTAGTGATATATCACTTTAAGCAATTAAAGGACTACTTCCATGGTTCATTTAGATATTTCTGCAGCCTAAACAGGGTTGTAAATCATGTTTTCTACTGCAAGACAAGCGTGTTTGGCAAGGTTGTTCTCTTGAAAACGTAAAATCTGTAAACTGAAAATGCTTTTCTGAATGTATTTTCTTGTAATTGAATTCCACAAAGCAAATGCAACAAAGAGAAATTGATGTACCTAACCCAAAAGTTAATCATACAGATATACAATGAAATTTCACCCTTTCTACTTGTCTCGTTCTTTTCTTATGAAGTTCACCATTATCAGGTCTGATTGTCAGATAGCAAGGATATAGGCAGGATTTTTTTTATAGGCAGGGGATGGAGCAACATTAAAAAGCACAAGTAATTAATAATTGGTAAAAGAAACTGGCAGGATTTTCTTAGAGAACATCTAATGCATGTTAACAAGTACTTAAAGATATAGATAGACAAACCATCACATATACACACACACACACATATATTCAAATTCAAAAAACTTCTGAGAAGCCCGTAGCAGCCTCAGCCTGGATCGGACCACATGTTAAGTACACAGCTTCGATTTTGTCCATTGGTCGCCTCAAGAGAAGAGAGAGTAAGAGATATGAATCTAGAGAGAAGAAAATTGGTAGAAGCAAGAAAAGAAAGAAGATTGACAGAAGATACATTTACCAAAGTTGAAAGTACCATAAGAAATTGGCATTAAACATGGTAGGAGAACTTGACATCATTCTAAACCTTTTTGTATAAAAAAGAACAATTACATTAGATCTTTACAATAAATAATCCATATTAAAGGATGTTGATGCTAAATTAGCAACAAAATCCATATCAATTCTGTTGGGGGAGAAGTGCAGCAGAGCATTTGGTAGCGTAATAAAACTCTAACCAGAAAACGGGGACATTGATGCAAAATTCATAAGTAAACTTCCTTTCTGTCTATAATTTCTACGATTCAATATAATCAAGCTCAGAATTATTGATTTATATAGAATCAGAAGAACCCTAGCAAAAACAATATCATGTAACATACCCACAGTTCACACTCCCTACAGAGGATGATACACACACACAGATGACAGATGCATATGAGGGAGGGATCGACACAACAGAGGATCGACACACCTTGGATGCAGATGATGGAGCAGCGGAAGGGGGAGAGATGACCGATGGCTGTTCAGAGTGAGCAGCGGCAAAGGATGAAAGGGGGCAGATTTAATACAAACCCTAGAGGGGCAGAATAGAAGTCAACTTTGGGGGAATGGCTATTAAAACCTTAACAAAATGAAGCTTTGTCTTCAAAAGGATTCGAAAGCCCAACCACCCTTGAGTCAAAAAGCGAAACACGGATTTTTGAGGTGTAAGGGTGTCTACAACGAAAATGTGAACCAAGATCACAAAAACAAGCTTTGGATTTTCAATACTTTGTAGATACTTGATAATTTGATTTTATTGAACTAAATTACTTTTTAAATTTTCAAATTTCAAATCTCGGTTTTTATAATAAAAACAAGAAACAAAAATGTTTTCTTATTCTAGATCTACAACTTTTAGCAATAATAATGTCTCAAAACAAGAAATTGCTCTCTACATTTAATGCACAAAACTTATACTTCAAAGATATAGCAAAACAATCCCAAATTCATTACATATTTTGATCTTATTTGATTCAAAAGGGGATAAGAATAGTGGGCCTTGTGCACTTATAATGAAAATAGAAGAAAAAATGTAAGTATGAGAGTGATATCCTAAGGCAGTGATGATGAGCAGTCTTTAGCGGTAGCATGTAGATTTGACAAACTGAAAGCTGGATTATTTTCAATTGTGGAAAGAAATCATGGAGATTAGACCTCCCAATTTCCATTATGATGAAGTGGGAAACGGAGAGAAAGATATAGAGAATGTTCATTTAATATCCTAATGCAGTTTTACTTGATTTGCCAGCAATTGCACCAAGAACCAACTTGCACATGCAAACAAACGCTATAACCAGTTTTGATATGATATGGTTGGAGCCCTAGGAAGTCGAGACTTGGTAAAGGTTTGCTGAAGGACTAAAGGGCTGGCAAACTCGAAGGAAGAATTAGGGAATATGAGAGTGAGAGGTGTGTGTGTGCACTTTGGGCCAAACATGACCAGTCGCTATTAGGACTTTCCTCAAGGCCCATAATGGAGAACAAGAAGCCCATATGATTGCAGGTACATGAGTGCATGATACATAAACACCAGGATCCTGAGATTCTATAAATTTATGATCCAAACGAGACCAGCCCATTATATATCACGTGAAAATAGGGTCTAGGGGATCAGATGCATGCTAAACTGACCTCTACCCTGAAGAGTGGAGCATCCATTTCCATGAAGAGTGAAGACCCCCCACTTTTGCACAAGGGTGAGAAAGGGAGGATAAGTAAGACTAGTGAAATGTAATCAACAGACAATTAGGAAAGAAAGAAGAAAATAGCACAATGAAACATAAAAAATGCAAGGCATATTGAAACATAAAAAATGCAAGGCATATTGAAACATAAAAAATGCAAGGCATATTGAAACATAAAGCATATAAGAAAAAGTACACATCTCTCCACCTATTGTATGGCTTTGAAAACCTATCCACTAGCTCCCTAACACACCCCAATCCCCATAATCCCATCCTCATCTTGCATACTCCCTTCTCCGATCCATGCCTGCTGGGAACTCCTATCACATGTCATGTCCATGGAAATCTAAGGATGCCATGTCCATCTTGAGTTGCTCATCCCACATCCTTCGTGATCTGCCCCTTCTACCATCATGCTTTCTACTCTCCTTATCGGTGCCGCTACCATTCAACCAATAACATGCCCAACCACCGCAATGTTCCCCCTATTGATTTCCTCATAATAGGCACAACTCCCAACACCGCCATGAAGAACTCTTTTGGTATCCTATCTAGCATGGTACAACCACATGTCCATCTAAGCATCTTCATTCGCGCAACTTCTAACTTCCTCTCATTGGCCTTCTTTGTTGCCCAACATTCTGACCCATACAACATAGTTTGTGTGATGACTACCCTGTAGAATTTAGCCTTCAATTTTAGTGGGACCTTTTCATACAACACCCTTATCACAGCTCTCAACTTAAGCCACCTTGTCTTTATGCAATGTGTTATGTCTTCTCTATCTCTCCCCCTGTCCTAATCATTGAGTCTAAATACTTCAAAATGTCCTTTTAAGGCACCCTTGCCCCCCCAATCTTGACTTCTACCCCCTCATCAATGTGCTTTGCACTGAGATTGCACCATAAGTATTGTCTTAGAATGACTAATACACAATCCTTGTGATTACAAAGGCACCCTCTACTACTCCAACCTTTCATTGACCTCTACCTTCAACTCTACTAAAAGCACAATGTCGTTAGCAAATAACATACACCATGGGACACTCCCTTGAATCCCTCGAGATATTTCATGCAAAATCACAAAAAAAAATAGGCTTAGCGCCGATCTCTAGTGTAGCCCTATCTCTCCCGGCAAAAAGCCCCATCTCACCCCCTATCCTTGTATGTGTGTGTACAAATCTAAAGCAAACTAACAGAACAAAGAAATTATCTTATAATTCATATAAATAAATATGAAATAAACACATACTTAGATTTAAACCTTAACGTGCTTTTACTTATTAGTCCAAATTTTCAAAGAAAAATGATTCCTTACATTGTCTTATCTCATTCTTCCTCGTGCAGCCATAACACTTTAGTTTTACTTATATTTTCGACATCCCCCCTCAAATTGATGCTTGTAAATTTACATGCATCAATTTGCCAACAAGAAAATCATGAAGTTGGTTGCTAATGATTTGGTTAAGGTATCTGTAAGCCGTATAGTAGCGGAGAGAAGTGAAAGATTGAATAGTTGGTGATAATAGGTCTCTATAATAAAGTATGTGTTAATAGTAGACAGGAATCACAACAATTTAGATGGCACTAATGTTGTCCACATGTAATGGAGTTGGCTGAACAGAGAGAAAACCAAGTTCCATGAGAAGACAACGTAACCAAATAATCTCATAACTTGCGACAGACATGGCATGATTCTCTGACTAAATAGATGATTGACACAAAGTTAAGTTTTTTGCCTTCCATAAGATAAGATCATCACCAAGAAACATACACCGTCCAATAGTATATTTTCGAGTATCTGGACAACCACCCCAATATTAGACCACTCAAGAAGCGTTCCCTGGTACCCAACAACTTCCTAACTACATGAACCAAATCGTAAATATACTTGACTTGATTCACAAGTGGTCGATAATTCACCTCTAACCCCAAAAATAAAGTTGGTCAAGGTCTTTCATGCGGAAAATAAAATGTATCAACTTTTTATCTTAGTGATAGCCTCCATATCAAGACTCTCTCAACCATACTAAGCCTTCATATTTGCTCATGACGAAGTTCAAATTCCTACCACTACAAAAGTACAAATGAGGCTTTCAAACACCTTCGATGGAAACATGTAGTGAATAAGGAAATACAATAATTTGAAAAGGATGGAGCATGGACCATCACAAAACCACCTCATGGAAAGAAGGCAGTCTGTTGTAGGTGGATTTGTACAATTACAATCAAGAAAAAGCAAATGGGAGCACTGAACGATTGAAAGCACACCCAAGGGATGTACTCAATCGTATGGATTGATTATCAAGGAACATCTGAACTTGTGGCTTAAGTTAGATACTATATGAATTCCCTTGTCTCTTGCTACCAATGTGATTGGAATCTGTATCAACTCGATATCAAAATTTTGTTTTTGAACAGAGACCTAGAAGAAGACGTATACATGGAAATTCCTCCCTGATTTGAGAACTCTTGCACCAATAACAAGGAGTGCAAACTCAAGTGATCACATGGGGCATGCTTTGGAAAATTTACAAAATCTGTAATAAAGTTTGGATACAAGCAATGTCAGTCAAATAATTTTGTTATATTGTTATTTATGAAGTCTTTTCAGAAGGAAGAATTGTTATTCTTATTGTCTATGTCGACAACATAATCTTGATAGGAAATGATAAAGAACTAACCAAAGGGCCTTTGGCCGAGCGGTATGTGAGTCCTTGGCCTCCTAGGAGGTCAAGGGTTCAAACCTTACCAAAGGTTAGGAGGGTGTGTGAGTTTATTTGTTTTATTTGCCGTATATAAATATTATTATATACTCCAAAAAAAACTACCAACTCTTAAGTGTCATCTAGCATAAGAATTTGAAACTAAGGACCTAGAAAATCTCAAATATTTCCTTCGGATGGAAGTGGCTTGATCAAGGAAAGGAATAATGGTGTCTCAAGAAAGTATGTGTTGGATTTATTGGAAGAAACAGGAATGTCCTGTTGTAAACTAATCAAAACTCCAATAGGTGCATACAACAAACATAGATTTGAACCGTTATACCACCGCTATAACCGCTATTTTGTATTTTGACCGCTATAACAGCATAGTCGTTGTCACAACCACCACCCATCCCCACCCTAACCCCCCAACCCAGCACTGACCAACATGTCACTTTGTTGTCGTCACATATGTCACCTCCACCCGGGCACCCACCCACCCACATCAACCTCATCCCATCACTAACCACCATGCCACTATTGTCGTCGCATAACTGCCACCTTCACCCCCTCACCCACCCACACCACCAATATTAACATGCCACTAATGGAGATTCCGATTCTTTTGAGATTCCATTCCAGTTCCTACCAACCAAACGTCTGGTCAAATTCCATTCCAATTTCTTCAAAGTCAAATTCCTTTAATGGATTCCAATTCCATCAAATTCCATTCTGTGAACCAAACTCCCCCTTAGATCTCCTAGAATACACGAAGTGGTTGATATTTCCTTCATAATAGCAGTTGTAACTCGGTTATTAGAGAATAAGATATGATCAACTTTTTTCTCTAGAAGTCATGGAATAAAATGGATGTTGATCAACTAGACACATGTTAGGCTGCTACAAGATAGTAAGAGTAAACAAAATCTAATAACCTAGACCTACTAAACAAATTCGTAGAAGTAAAAGAAAAAACCTAGTTAAAGAACAAGAGAACATAATTTGAGAACTTGTATTGCTTCAACAAGAGGTCATCTACTTTCTATTGCATGCTCACAACTTACTAGTGTTTGTGCATAAGTATGTATTAGGTTTCAAAATTTCCAGTAGCTTAGTGTCCGTACACTGTGTCTATGTTTTTGGAAAGGTATCCCAGGCTATGCCTGGACTAACCCCGACAAATTTTGACCGCAAGAAATCAGCCCTGATAAACTCAGTGGCCACAATTGTTATGTACGCCTGGAATTGAACCCTGCACAGATGGGATATTCCACCACATCCCCCAGGGCCTCAACCACTACGCCACAACTTTTGTGGTGTGTATATGTTTCTTGGCATGTGCATATAGTGTGCAGGGGTTGTGTGGAAAAGAAGAAACACAATTTTTGAGTAAAAAAGTAAAGAGCTTGTTGCGTTGATGAGTCATTTACAAAGTGATGAGACACTTACCGATGAGTGCTAAAACTACCGAGTGGTGCGCCTGTCATCATCATCTTACTTGAAATTAAAAAAAAAGCAAAAGAATAAGTTATTAAAGCAACATCTTTTATATATTAAAAACAAATTTAAAAAACAATAAAGCTTTTGAATTAGAAGAACTTAAGTTGTAATTAAATGTTGACTTGTTTTTAGAATTTCTTTTATTCTAGGAAATGGCTATGGTATGCGTGTCAATTTTGGGAAGTAAACATTATAGTTGATATGTAGTATGCATTTTAGTTTTTGAAGTCCTATCAAATGATTATATATGGTGGACAAGTCTTGAGCTATGCACACATATGTAGCACATATTGAATAACTTGTTGCCAAACGGACAACGTAAATTACTAAATGTGAGATTCAAACACAGAAAAATATGCCCCAAAGATAAATTTCAGGACACCCAAATAATTTTAAAGAGCTTAAGAAATAGAACCTTGACACAATCGCAAGGCAGCCAGGCCTCTGACATTGCATTCACAAGGTCCCTACTGCATAGTATGGTGATGCCCTCCAGTGACACAGCCAACTGCATCCAAATTTTACAGCCTCGATTAAGTCAAGACGGTTACATTAGTATTTACAGGTTATGTCAGTTATTTAGGAAGTGCAAGAGGATTAAGTCAAGATTAAAAATCAAAGACTGATCTAAAACATCAAGTGGACATATTGAAAAGTACTTCGTACATGAGGCTGATTTTACATGATAAAGTGTTCGTTAGCAAAGAACATAAAAGGTGTTGCATATGACATCAGAAGTTCACTAATGAACAAGAACTAGTTCCGGCACTTTTTACCATAGAAGTGGGACTTCTGTTGCCAATAATGTATCATAAAAGCCTGTCCCCTGTTTGGCACATATTATTTTCCTGAACCCATACCATCTATCTTTGGGTTTGAGATATAGCACATAATACCTATATAATGTGATATGATATAAAAAGCATAAAGATGCAAATGGTTAAATCATCCAAAAGCTCAGCTAAAAACCACAAATCGTTGCTCAATAACTTCAAATGTACGAACACTATCATCCATCAGATATATGACCAGAAACGAGCATTCAAAATTCTTAAAAGTGTATCCAGAAATACTAGAGTTAGTACACATAATAAGCAACAGGTATGTAAGATACACATGTCAACTAACCCGTACCTAACTTCTTTGTCCAACTTGCACTTGTGTTGGATTCACGAAGTAATAGATTTACAATAGAAGATGGTTTAAGTGAGTCTAAAGATCATCAAGAAGAAAACCACGCCACTAATTAGTAAATAGGATGAGTATAATGAGTCTATTGGGGCCCTTGATCATCCTTGCAGTTCATACAGATGGAAGTTCCCTTCAAAGGCAATGAACTAATCACAGTCCAAGATTGCCAACACGGATCTTTATATTTCTTCTATCACCTGGAGGAGGCTTGTCTCATTTTTCAAGGCAGACATGCTATATGACTAGCATGCATACATCTGAAATTGAGGGGTTGCAATAACCTACCATTTGGCATCCAAATGAAATTCAAACACCAAATTTTAAGTTTAAGCCAAGTAATTTGTCACACCCTATTTCCCACGGTTGTAACGGTCTAAGAATCTTCATATTCGAACAATAACATGAGCATACTACTAACCACCAAAGGGCCTTTGGCCTAGTGGTATCTGGGCCTTTGGCCTCCCATGAGGTCAGGGGATGTGAGGGTGGTGTGATTTTATTTGTTGCATTTGTCGTATATAAATATTATATACTTCAAAAACCTACTACTAACCAATTACAGTGGAAGACTTTCAACATTATTACAAACTTAATAATCTGACAACGAATACAACTAAAATTGAATGTTGAATACTGAATACTAAAACATGCTGAAACAACTAGAATGAAACGTAGTTCAAGCTAAAACACAAAATCAATCACGGCTAGATGTGGGACATAGAACTACGTCTTCAACTATCTCTTCTCTTTCCACTTTGGCCGAACCTTAGGTACACACAACTAGTTCATGATTTTCGTGTTAAACAGTTATCAAGACATTTTCTAAATATTGAACTTCCATTAAATCGTGAAATATTGAACTTTGTTATGCATATGATACTGAACCTTGCAAGAATGCAACATAAAATAACTAAACATGTGAGATCTTAAATATGAACTAACACAGTGAGGGTCATACCAACACATATGAACCTCACAAGTAAAATGACCGTAGTATGTACTGGGTAGTATCTGATGGTGGACATAGAGATGGAAACGGGGTGGGAAATGCACCCCCAACCCCGTTCCCGCCGCCCCGCCTAATCACCGACGGGTTTGGGGGGAAATTTTCTGACGGGTATGGAAACCTCTTGTGTACCCGTTTAGAGAAAAAAAAATTATGCATTTTAAAAAACGAAAAGAAAAAAATGAGTTTTTAATTTTTAAAACAAACAAATGAACCTCAAATTTCAAAAATACATAATGACATAACCAACCACATGTAATCATAGTTTATGACAAATTTACAAGTATAAAATTATTAACAAAAAAGAAACTAATCAAATATTGAAAACATATCCTAGTTTGGGAGATCATATGAAACTCACTTGGTTTAAGCTTAACCTCAAATATTGCTTACTTTCCTTTTGCGTCCAGCTTAGGACTTGTATCTCGATTTCATAACTTCTAGTAGCATCACTTAGCTTCTTACTAGTATCTTCTACTTTTGGAGAGTATTTTCTACATGGGATGATGGGTACAAAGCTCCGGTTACTTGCTATAGGTGACGAGTTGTAAGCCACTTGTTCGAAACTTACTTGTTTATTAGTTGTAAGCTACTTATTTTATTCAACCTTTTTGAGCAAATCATCTCTATGAATCAATAGAATACCATTATTTAGTTTAACTTCGTCCCTAAGACATCTAGCCCCTAAATCGGGTTTAGATGATAAGAGACAAAAATGTAAAATAAATTACATGCATTTCAAGTAAATAGACTCACTTTGGATCCTTCATACAAACAGCAAGAACAAAGTATCCCCATGCCTTCAGTTAATGCTTTTAGATCCATTCCCTGTAATTAACAATACATTGTATTATCTTTTCAAACCTCATAACTAAAACATTATGAATAACAGCACGGGTTTTATACTTAGTTGAGGATGTCGCACAAGGGAAAGTGAAATTTATCAAAAAGTGGCAGAGTGCTCATGAAACCAATTCATATTATACATGTACATCCCAACAAGATATGAAGAACGTTTTGAACTCTAAAGTAACATAAATATGAACTATAAATAAACTCTTTAAGTAACTAAAAATGAACTCATAAAATGAACTAAAAGTGAACTCTTAAGTAACATAAACTGAACTAAATATGAACTCTTAAGTAACATACAAGGAACCAAAAATGACAGATTCAAATGTCACTAAGATCCCTGTTGTGATTTTCTAGAAAAATTTCACCTAGAGAGGGTGAGAGAAAGGGATCTAAGATAATATTTTCGTTTCGCTCTGAAAGTTATGGACAATATTAAAAGATTGCACTTATCCATTAACTATTATTAGTCTATTACATTGAATGAAAGCAACGCTAACATAGCACTTTGGGAACTAATTTCCATAAGAATGCCAAAATATTTGCTCTGCCTAGTCCATACTCCATACATCATGTTTTTCCTAGTTTGGATTGTCTAAGTGGTTAAGACTTATTCACGATAACCTAGAGGTCCTGAGGTCCTTCACTAGACCAAATGAGTTACCGAGGGTGCATTGATAGGCAGGTGGCAACCCCTAGGGTGCGGTTTACGGTCTCTTTCTTGAAACAACATTTACTCTGTATTATATTGAAAGACACCATTCGAAAGTGTGATATTGTGCATCTTTGGTTTGGATGGGAAGAACAATAGGTATATAGTATCCATTTTCATCTAAGTGACGGTAATCTACACAAGTCCTACAACCCACCACCACCCGAGAATAAGAATTCAGGCCCTCAAACCATTTACATCTGGGGTGATACCTTAGCAAATAGACCAATTCAATATGAATTTACTTTAAGCACAAAAGATCATTGAGTCTGATTCAAATATTACTCTCTTAAATCCAATTTAAAGAGACAACTTTTTGTTTTTATTGCCATAAAAACAACCAAGAGGAACAACTAAAACCATTAGAAGCAAGTCATGATTATGAGTAGGCAATCTACCTTGTTCCCGAAATTGAAGAAAACCTGAAACCCCTCCAGCAAACAAGTCTCAAGAAGCTCCCCCATATTAGTTCGAGCTTTGTTCAACCCAAGCTTCTTCGCGTTTTCACTTCTATTTTCCATTTTTCTCTGATTCTCTCCCTCGTATTCGAAATTTCCAATTCACCTCCAAACCCTTGACCCCCTCCGTCCACAACTATTTCTTCTTCGCCCTTGGATTTGTCGGCATTTACTAACTCATCCTGAGAAATCCAGTTGTAAACCTCTTTTGCTCGGAAGAAAACAGTCGATCATGTTATCCATATTAGCGCAGATGGTAGCTTTCTTCTTCTTCTTTTTGGTATAAGTGGGCTGAATTTGTTGACATCCCAAGCGAACTCTCCCTTCATTCTTGATTGTAACGATGATTGATCATCAAAATGAAATCTGTAACACAAAGGCGGTAACAGAAATTGAACCATTAATCTGTGGGAAGAAGAAGAAGAAAGACTGGAAATCCTTCGTTTTGGTTTCTCAATTTATCCGATTTGGAGATCTCTTCAAGATTCCCAATTGGAAGGAACAATCAAGACTGACCCCCATATGTTAGATGAAATCTAAATACATTTCCATTATTTTTTTTATCAAATTTTGGTAAATCTAATAAACCATTCGATCACAAACCGACAAGAAATACAAGGAGTTTTATTGTATAGTTTGGTTATACATTCAGACATAGATTTGATGTATTTATAGTTAAAACCGAAAATATTCATCCGGTTATCAGAATATAAAGAGTAAGGCATTCGTTGATCATCATATCTTTTATGATCATCATATTTCTTCTGATTATATTAAAAAATCATGTATACATGTTACCTTTCGATCTTCGTTTGATCAACGATCGAGTTACCTTCATGACTTTCTTTGCAATGTCCACGAACAAACTTCCATCCCGGCTTTTCTTTAAAACATATGCTTAACGAGCTTGATAACAGGGAGGCCGAAGCCTCGGTGAAGCGGCAATCGTAACTGTAATTGTCTACAGTAGCAAAATTCCTTGTTGGATCAGTTTCGACCCACACGAAACTAGCTATGCTTTACTATAAACAACCAAATCCTGCATATTTGGACAGAAGGATCCATGACATCAAACAATCAAGTTCACTTGTCAATTTGAACAAGTTCAAGATTGTCTTGATATACTGTATAGAAATTTAAGTGTTTTTCCATCCTTCATCGTCGTCCATCCATGAGAACCATGGTCAAGTTTTTAAACGTCATGAAGGTACGAGGGGACTTAAAAATACTGTTGCACACATAAAATAAGTTAACAAATCTAAGTTCATTAAAAAAAAAAGGTGTTATTCGATAAGGATACAAAGTATATGATGGTTTTGCACTAGGTCGGCTCATGTCTATCCTTAGACGGTCAATAATGTGTTTAGAACGAGCTACGTGTGTGTGTTCTTTAATTGATAGTGTATTAAATCAAATCATTTTCAAATCAACAATATGACCGATCAAGATGCATGATAGTTGTTCACTTGTATACGTGTGTGACCAGCTGTAGTATGTGTTTACTATCTAATTTGCTACGTTAAATCTCATATTCAAATAAGCTGTCTTATCTTGACGATTTTTCCACGAACCGCCTTTCTCTCCTATATCATCAGGGGTAAGGTTACAAGCATATCTTTATGTTTTATTTATCTATTATTCAATTACTTTTCATCGTAATGTTATTAATTTAGAGTTAAATTTAAAGAAGTCTTTGTGCACTTATTGGAGAGTAAACGATGGAAGTCGTTACAGTTGATGGCTAAATATAGTTTTGTTTATCACCGCCAATATCTCGACCATTTTGTTAGTTGGATGGAAAGAAATCGTCGGTAAATGCCCAATTTTACCAGTCCAATTAGAGTTGCTCTAAGATAATATTCATCTTAAAAAACATTAAAAATAGGGGGTTCATTGAACATTAATAAACTTTTAAATACAATTATACATTAAAAAATACTAAAAAACATTTTTAATGCTATAATAACATATATATATATATATATATATATTATTTTATTTTATTAAAACTCAATAATTGTTCTCTATAATTTGGTCCGGTTTAATCGGTTTTAAACTTTTTAAAAACTAAATGATAACCAAATAGAACAGGATTCGGTAATCAGTTTCAGTTCATTCAATTTTCAGATTATTAGGAATTGGTAAACAAAATAAGAGTTCACATTTTTTCCTTAAACACTCACCTCCAACAATTATTGAATATGCAACACAATCACTTCAAACACATCATACATCCAACAAAAAAAAAACGTTATATAACAAAACCATTTTCAAAATAAGTTGCCTAACAAAATAAAACATTATCTACCTTCATCAGTGCCTTGTAGCTATTTCGTAGAAAGGATTCATATCTTCATCATGGTCGTCGACTCGTCGTCCACCTTCATTCCTATCTCTCTTAGAAGTATCACACCTGTCCAATTTCTACAATCAGTAAGGATATCGTTGACCGACCGTCGACGTTCCATGAATAGTCGGAACATTGAGAAATATCTAGAAAGGACATCGATGGAGAAAGAAACCTATGATTAGCTCTTTAGGAAATTTTCAAATGAACAACGGAATCTATTGCATGTTTCTATTTTCCCTTGAATGTGTCATGACTAGTCTTAAATTATAATCGAATCAAAACACTTACGGTCCGTTTGGTTTGCACGATTGTTAATTTTATAGAGGGATTTGGATTTGCATTGGAACGGATTTGAAATCATTGGTGTGTTTGGTTTGTAGGATTTGAAATAGAATTGAATTTCATTATTTATATATAATTTATAAAAAAAAATTGAATTACATTTTTATTAATCGATTATCACAAAACAAATGTTTTAAACATTTTTTAAAACCTTATTGCATACAATCTTATGAAATCTCAAGCATTCCCTAAGAATTTCAAAATCCTATATTTGAAGGATTTCAAACCCGGACAATCCAACAAACCAAAGATGAGATTTAAATGAATTTGAAATACAAATTCTCCCAAATCCATTTTATACCAGCAAACTAAGATGCACCCTTAATCCCATACTTGTAAATTAAGTTTTCGATTAAAATATTGATATATCAAATTAATATATCAATTTTTTTTTTTCAAATTCCACGATTAAAAAAACAATTAAACTTAATATATTGAATTAATATTATTTATTATCTATACTATATTATAAAGCATTTGACTAAAACTCTTAAAAACTCTTAAAACTCTTAAACTCTTAAACCGTTCATTCCTATCCGATTTCATCCCATATCTGAATTCGTGTAACTAACTGCAAATAAACACAATCA